ACCCCAACCCCCAGCCTCCCCGGGCGAGAGATTCTTTGAAAGCATCGAGGAGGAGGTGCGGAGTGGGGAGCATCCTATGTCCCTCCGGGGAAGATCGGGGTGAGGACTCCCGGGGGGGAAAGGCTGAAAGGGAAGCCTGCGAAGCGCCCCGAAAAGACCGAGGGCTGAAAGGAGCCCAGCACTTCCTCCGCGAGTCTGAGAAAGGCCTCTTTGATTCGCCCCTGCCGCTTGGCCTGGAGCCCTGGTTCATGTCCTGTCGCCTCCTCCTCCCCCCAGCCCTCCTCCTCCCAGGGGTCTCTTTTGAAAAGCTTTGGAGAGAGACCGGAGGGGTGACAGCGACAGCCCGCTCTGGGCTGGTGCAGCAGAGGGCGGCCCGCATTTCACTCCCATGGACCATGGCAACCCCAGAAGCTTTGCAGCCCCGGGGAGGGAATGGCAGCTGTCAGGATTGTGCAGCGGCTCAGCAGCGGATGAGGGAGCCCGGCTTCCTTCTCCTGCTGCGTGGGAGAGAAGAATCGGGAGGGTGACCCTTCTGCTGACCTTTATTCAAAGCGCAGTCTGCTGCTGCACGGAGCAGGGGGAGGGAACTACAGGGCAAAGGCACGACCGGGATTCCCTCCTCACTATTCACCTTGTAAATCCCCTCCCCCCCAAAAAAGAAGGGGGGTTCTGAGGGTAAGATTCAACACCACCCTGGTTGGCAAAGCTCCGAGGTCCAAGTGGTGGTGGCATCCCCTGAAATCCAGCATCCACAGTCCTCATCTGAAAGGCACGCCTCCCCCATCTATACACTTTCCGGCTCTAACAGGCAACCGGTGTAAGAATTGAAGATGCCACAGAGTGAGGCAAGGACCACTGCTACCTAATGGCAGTGGGTGCAGCTATAACCACTTCTGTTTATTTCTCTTCTGCTCTGCTTATTCTGCTGAACAGGTGCCTGCAGAGCTGGGCAGATGAAATCTGAGCCTCAGAACCTGAAGAAGAACTGGGTGTCTAACCCCTGGACCGCACCCCCGGACCCACATACATCCCCCGAGACACAACCCCCCACACTGAATAACCATCTTCCAGAGACAGCCCAGCCCAGGCCAGGGGAAGGGGGGTTCTGAGGGTAAGAGAGGCAGGATGGGCCTGGCCAGCATAGCTCAGTGGTTGAATGTTGACTTATGAACCAGGAGGTCACAGTTCAATCTCTACCAGGGCACATGCCCAGGTTGCAGGCATGCTTGATCTCCAGTGTGGGGAGTGTGCGAGTGTGCAGGAGGCAGCCAATCGAAGATTCTCTCATCATTGCCGAAGCCGGTTTGCCTCAGTAGTAGAGCGTTGGTCTGTGGACTGAAAGGTCCCAGGTTTGATTCCAGTCAAGGTCATGTACATTGGTTGCAGGCACATCCCGGTTAGGGAGTGTGCAAGAGGCAGCTGGCCGATGTTTCTCTCTCATCGACGTTTCTAGCTCTCTCTATCTCTCTCTTCCTCTCTGTTAAAAATCAATAAAATATATTTCTTAAAAAAAAAAAAAAAAAAAGATTCTCTCATCATTGATGTTTCTCTTCCTCTTCCTCCCTCTCTGAGATCAATAAAAATATATTAACAGCAAAATATACATATATATTTTTTAATATTTTTTTATTGATGCCATTTTAACCATTTTAATGCATCCATGAGTTGCTTTTCCAATGTTGTACAACCCAAAATAGAATTTTGCAGGAAAAAAAGGGGGGGGGCTTTGTATTCCAGGATTGTCAAGAAAGAAAGGGTTATTAAAAGTTCCTTTAGCTCTGGCCAGTTTGGCTCAGTGGATAAAGCATCGGCCTGTGGACTGAAGGGTCCCAGGTTTGATTCCGATCAAGGGCACATGCTCAGGTTGCAACCACCAGCACAGCAAATAGCTGTCCAGTGTGAATGAACAAAAAAATTATACCTTAAAAAAAGAAAGTTCCTTTAGTTCCCATAGTTTCTTCTATGATGTACAGAAGAGTCTCCTGTCTAACATTAAGACTCACCCAACTGGTGTGGCTCAGTGGTTGAGGGTTGACCTATGAACCAGGAAGTCATGGTTCAATTCCTGGTCAGGGCACAGGCCCAGGTTGTGGGCTTGATCTCCAGTGTGGGGCATGCAGGAGGCAGCCTATTGATGATTCTCTCTCATCACTAATGTTTCTATCTCTCTCTACCTCTCCTTTCTTTTCTCTGAAATCAGTAAGATAGGTAGAAGATAGCTAGATAAAAATATAAAGGACTTAACCAAGAGATTGGAGATGGGGGGAAAGAGGATAGCAGAAATAAGAGTTATGCTTCCAGACCTGGGAGTTGATGAGATAAAAGGGAGAGAGACAAATAAGAAAGGCAGAGCCACAGGTTGGGTCGAAACTGGTTTGGCTCAGTGGATAGAGTGTCAGCCTACGGACTGAGGGGACCCAGGTTCGATTCCAGTCAAGGGCATGTACCTTGGTTGCCCGAATGTCCCCAGTGGGGGGCGTGTAGGAGGCAGCTGATAGATGATTCTCTCTCACCGATGTTTCTAACTCTCTGTCTCTCTCCCTTCCTCTCTGTAAAAAATCAATAAAATATATTTTTTAAAAAGAAAGAAAAGAAAAGAAAGACAGAGCCACAGGTTGGGATCTGGGGCAGGGAAGAGGGTGGTTCCCAGAACAAGAGCCCTTTCACATGCAAGAGTCTGGAAGACAACCCTTAGGCAGGATGACGGCTCCATGCCAACAGTGCTGAGAAGACAACAGGGGTGAACAGGGGTGAGGGGCGGGGCAGGTTATCACAAGGAAGATCCAGTTTGCGTTTCTAGACCTTGGACACTGGGTGTCACGAAAGGCAGTTGAGAGCTTGGTGTGGCTGCTCTGGGACCCACCGTAGCAGCACGTGGTAGAGACTCAGGGGTGCCGTGAGCGGAGGAAAGGCTGAGTCAGCAGGAGGAAGCACTGAGCCCTGACTGAACCAAGACAGAGCATATGTTAGGAGCAGACGCCAAGCAAACAATCCCTGGGCCCCAGAACCAGGACATCCGCCCACAGAGAGCACAGCTGTGCCTGACACTGCTTTTGTCTGCTCAAGATCCTCGCCCCCCTTTTTACTTAAACAGAATTATACCTGACCTAGCAACGTGCCAATCACTCCCGCTCACATACTCAGACCTTCCCCAGGAAGGCTGGCTTAGAGGTACTCTGGGAAGGCTTTTCCTTCCCTGCTGAATGGACTCAGACACGGATAATAAGAGCTGGAGTGGAAGCAGCCATGTTGTTAACCGGAGGCCATGAGCATAAAGACAAAAGACAGCCGGCCAAGCTGGCAGAACAGGACAATTGAAAGAACAGGATTCCTTTCCTAGGAAGAGAGCTATTTTTCTGGGGGCAAATATTTGATAAGAAGCAAAACAGAACGACTTTGAACAATAAAATAAATATTCGAGGGCTAACAGACTGGTTAAAAAAGGAACTCAACGAAGAAAATAGAAACGGCCCTCGCTGGTTTGGCTCAGTGGATAGAGTGTCAGCCTCGGGACTGGAGGGTCCCAGGTTCCATTCCGGTCAAGGGCACATGCCAGGGTTGCGGGCTTGATCTTTCCCATCATTGATGTTTCCATTGCTCTCTCCTTCTTCCCTTCCTCTATGAAATCAATAAAAATATTTTTTAAAAATAAAATAGAAACGGCTACTGAGCATTTGTATGTTTTACTATAGATTGCCTGTTTTACTCCCGATTCCTCAGAAAATGAACCTTACTGGTAATGCTCTTTGTGAACTTGAATTTGCTTTTGGGAGATACCACATTGTTCTGAGTCCTGCTCCAAGGTAGACAAGGTGGACTGTGTCTATCGCTGTAGCTGTATTCATATGAATAAGATTCAATTTGTGTCAACATTTAATTTTTTTGTGTGTTAATCCTCACCTGGGGCTATTTTTCCATTGATTTTTTTTTTTTTTTTTTGAGAGAGAGAGAGAGAGAGAGAGAGAGAGAGAGGGAGAGGGAGAGAGAATGGGCTGGAGGGGGAAGACAGAGAGAAGCATCAATGTGAGAGAGACACATCATTGATTGCCTCCCAAAGGTACCCTGACTAGGGCCGGGGATTGAGCCTGCAACTGAGGTATATGCCCTTGACTGGAATCGAACCCTGGACCCTTCAGTCCGAGGGCCGACACTCTATCCATTGAGCAAAACTGGCCAGGGCTCAACTTTGAATTTTATCAAATTGATGTCTCATAGGTATCAACAATCATGTGAGACAAAAACTTTGAACTTGAACGTGGTACTTTGGGTCAATCATAAGACAAACAATTTCTTGGAAGAGCAATCTGTTATTATAGGCCAGATGGATAAGCATAGAGTGTTTTAAAAATTTAGTGCACTAAAATTAGGTTGGTTTGTTAACATTACTGTTTGACATACTTATCCCAGCAGTTTCTGGTTTTAAACACTCTTTTATTCCACTTATTTTTTTTTTTTCTATTCTGGAAGTTATCTATGTTTTATCTCAAATATTTCCACAATAGGTGAGTTTCAAACCACATTTATTTTTATTTTATTTTATTTATTTTTTTCCTGTGAGGCATTTTATTTCCACATATGTATTACATCCCAAGAAAAAGAATCCCAGGATTTTCCCTCCTGTGTGTGTGTGTGTGTGTGTTTTGTTCGTTTGTTTGTTTTTTAAATATATTTTATTGATTTTTTACAGAGAGGAAGGGAGAGAGATAGAGAGCCAGAAACATCGATGAGAGAGAAACATCGACCAGCTGCCTCCTGCACACCCCCTACCGGGGATGTGCCCGCAACCAAGGTACATGCCCCTGACCGGAATCGAACCCAGGACCCTTCAGTCCGCAGACCGACGCTCTACCACTGAGCCAAACCCGGCTTCGGCCTGTGTGTGTGTTTGTCTTGCTTCCTCATGGTCCATGATGCCCGCTGAGGTTGTCAGCACAATGAAGCCAAACTGACGGAACGGAAGCAAGTTGAGCTGCCCTTTTTCTAGATCTTTGAGTGGCACATCACACCTGGGGCAGATTGCGCCACTCCTTCAACCTGTCTGTGAGGTTCACAACTATTTCCCCAGCTCTGTGGCCATCCATCGTTTCAAATTCGCCAACGTAACTGTGCTTCACCATCGCAGTCGGACACCGGCCGGCGGCTTTGGGGCGCGGCCTGATGAGACCCTGGCGGTGGCCTCGCTTTTCGGCGTTGTTGATGCTCTGCAGAGCGTCAGCCAGGACACTCATGCGCACCATTGTGGCGGCACAGGCCGATGGCGGAAAGGGCCAAATCAATTTTACATCATACTTGCTAGACTACACAGATTGCAGTAAGTGATTGGTGCACGAACATGCTCACTTAAAAAACCAGAGATTTAACAATACATCGCTCGAAACATACATAACAGACTTAAAAGACAAAAAGCCGCCGAAACCGGTTTGGCTCAGCGGTGGAGCGTCGGTCTGCGGACTGAAAGGTCCCAGGTTCGATTCCGGTCAAGGGCATGTACCTTGGTTGCGGGCACATTCCCGGACGGGGGTGTGCAAGAGGCAGCTGGTCGATGTTGTTCTCTCATCAACGTTTCTAGCTCTCTATCTCTCTCCCTTCCTCTCTGTAAGAAAAAATCAATAAAAATATGTAAAAAAAAAAAAAAAAAAAAAAAAAAAAAAGACAAAAAGCCACAATATGTTGTCGCTCATCCAAAGAGGAGGGGTTTCTTTTCCCACTGTTGAATCTGAGCTGTCTTCCTGACTTGTAATATTATCAATGGCTAGGGATCGCTGCTCTCGTGGAACTTAAATTCTAATTGGGGAAGACAGATAGTAAACAATAAAGTAGTTATGTAATAGTAGAAAGTACTATGGAGCCGAAACCGGTTTGGCTCAATGGATAGAGCATCGGCTTGGGGACTGAAGGGTCCCGGGTTCGATTCCGGTCAAGGGCATGTACCTTGGTTGCGGGCATATCCCCAGTGGGGGGTGTGCAAGAGGCGGCTGATCGATGACTCTCTCTCATCGATGTTTCTAACTCTCTCTCTTCCTTCCTCTCTGTACAAAATCAATAAAATATATTTTAAAAAAATTTTTTAAAAAAAGAAAGAAAGAAAGTACTATGGAAAAGTGTAGATCAAGGGAGATTGAGAGTGATTGGATGGTGTGTGTGTGTGTTTGTGTGTGTGTGTGTGTGTAGACTTTTAAATCATGTGGTCAGGGTTGTGTCACTGAGAAGTTGAAATTTAAGCACAGACCTGAGGGAGGTGAGGGTAAATGGATTTCAAGGGGAAAGTGGTTCAAGCAAGAAAACAGAGCAAATGCCCCAAGGCCACCCTGAGCTATCTCCGCTCTGGCTGCTCTAATCAGAGGACCATCAGAGGAACCTGTAATGTGAGATTCTTTTTGTGTGTGTGTGTGTTTTCATTTTCTGGTTTTTATTTTTTTATTTTTTTATTTTACAGAGAGGAAAAGAGAGGAACAGAGAGTTAGAAACATCGATGAGAGCCGAAACCGGTTTGGCTCAGTGGTTCTAGAGCATCGGACTGCTATCTCTGTCCTGATCTTTTTAAAAAAATATATACATTTTTATTCATTTTAGAGATGAAGAGAGAGAGAGAGAGAGAGAGAGAGAGAGAGAGAGAGAGAGAGAGAGAGAGAGACATCAGTGATGAGAGTCATTGATTGGTTGCCTCCTGCACACCCCACACTGGGGATTGAGCTCACAACCCAGGCATGTGCCCTGAACCTTCTGGTTCATAGGTGTATGCTCAACCACTGAACTACGCTGACAGGTCCTGTCCTGATCTTTGATTTCCTGAATCATGCAACCATATTAGCTCTGAACAACCTTCATAGAGAAGGGTCTCTATATTTTTCTGTATACTAGTCTATAAAACCTTTAAATTGGACCAATACGAAAAGCAGAAGAACTGGGATTGGTTCAGAGAGTCAAAAGTCAGGACAGGCATGGAGAGAGTGTGGTGAGAACAGAAGGACATTTGTTTGAAGCCCGTGAGAAATTTGCCCTGGGTCCAATCCCACAACCTATCCTAGTCCAGTTTCACGTGTCATTCCCCAATTATGACTAACGAACTGGCCTCCACAACTGAAAACATGAACAGTTCACCCTGGTATAATGGCACCCCTCCAGAAAAGCAATCTTGCCTGTCTAGAACCACAGAAAGCCGAGTCAGGATCTGCCAATTGCATTTTCAGTGAGTCCTTGTATTACAAACACGCCACATAGAGTCAGATTGTTAATAGTTAATTTTGTTTAGAAAATGCACTTCCATGCCTAGGCTGGTTTGGCTCAGTGGATAGAGTGTCGGCCTGTGGACTGAAGGGTCCCAGGTTTGATTCTGGTCAAGGGCATGTACCTTGGTTGCAGGCACATCCTCAGTGGGGGGTGTGCAGAAGGCAGCTGATTGATGTTTCTCTCTCATCGATGTTTTCAACTCTCTATCCCTCTCCCTTCATCTCTGTAAAAAATCAATAAAATATTTTTTAAAAAGAAAAAGAGCCGAAACCGGTTTGGCTCAGTGGATAGAGCGTCGGCTTGGGGACTGCAAGGTCCCGGGTTCGATTCCGGTCAAGGGCATGTACCTTGGTTGCGGGCATATCCCCAGTAGGGGGTGTGCAAGAGGCAGCTGATCGATGACTCTCTCTCTTCAATGTTTCTAACTATCTCTCTCCCTTCCTCTCTGTACAAAATCAATAAAATATATATTTTTTAAAAAAAGCCAGCAGATTAATGATTCTCACCATTAATGTTTCTTTAAAAAAAAAAAAAGAAAGAAAAAAAAAAAAGAAAAAGAAAATGTACTTTTAGAATTTGAGATATGTCCTACTTTCCCAATACAACAGATATAATAAAAGATTAGTACTATAACTTTAAAAAATGTATTGATTTCAGAGGGAGAGATAGATGGAAACATCAATGATGATGTGTCTGCAAACAATGTACATGCTCTTGACTGGAATCGAACTTGGGACTCTTGAATCCGCAGATGGACGCTCTATCCACTGAGCCAAACCTGTTTCAGCATGGGCCTCTAGTATTGAATAAGATATTGTATGCTGCTATGCAGCCATTAAAAATAATAGATTTGGTCAAAACCGGTTTGGCTCAGTAGATAGAGCGTTGGCCTGCGGACTGAAAGGTCCCAGGTTCGATTCCAATCAAGGGCATGTACCTTGGTTGCGGGCACATCCCCAGTAGGGGGTGTGCAGGAGGCAGCTGATCGATGATTCTCTCTCATCGATGTTTCTAACTCTCTATCCCTCTCTCTTCCTCCCTGTAAAAAATCAATAAAAATATATGTAAAAAAAATAATAGATTTGTCCAGCCAACATGGCTCAGGGTTGAGCATCTATGAACTAGGAGGTTATGGTTTGATTCCTGGTCAGGGCACATGTCCAGGTTGTGGGCTTCATCCCAAGTAGGGGTGGGGGATGATCAATGATTTTCTATCATCATTGATATTTCTCTCTCTCTCCCTTCCTCTCTGAAATCAATAAAAATATAAAAATAAAAATAAAAAGATTTCAGCCCGGCTAGTCTGGCTGTGGTTGAGCATCAACCTATGAATCAGCAGGTTATGATTTGATTCCCAGTCAGGGCACATGTCCAGGTTGCAGGCTCTATCCCCAGTCGGGGGCCTGTAGGAGGTAGCTGAGCAAATGATTCTCTCTTATCATTGCTGTTTCTGTCTCTTCCTCTCTAAAATCAATACAAAATATATTTTAAAAAAGAATAATAGGTTTCAAATACTGACAAGGAAAGTGTAGCATAATCTCACTTTTATTAAAACACATAAGACTTATATATACAAAATATTAAAAAAAATTCTTAGTGTTTGCTCAGAAAGAGATATACCAAGCTGTGAACAATGAGCAATGGAACTGAAACTTGTGAATACATATATATATATATATATACACACACACACACACACACACACACACACACACATATATATATATATATATATATGACTTTTACTTAAGTTTGTTTACATTTATGAAACCAATATATATTACATTTATATTCAGCAACAACATCAAGAATTTCCATTTTGGGAAAGAAATAAACATTTTGGGTTTAGAAAACGTCCTGCTGAGAAAATAAATTTGACGGGTAACAATTTGGGTGTCCCCTCCATGGGTTAGTCCCCATCAAATGCATGGCTTTGTTATTCTTTCCGCCTATAATTTTACAAGTAAGCATCGTAAACAAAGAAAAACAAAGCATCTTAATTTACTCTTTAAATGGTTACAAAAGGGTATAAATTAATTGCAAATAAAAATGCACTGAAAAGTGAGGTCTAAAGCCTAGGCGTTTAACACCAGCTAATGCTAGGGTCTGGGATGTGAATTTTACAGAAAGGCTGTTTTCTACATTATAAAACCCACAGATTCAAATCCAAGTGTGAATCACAAAGATGTGCTCTGCAACACTTTAAGTGAGATATGATAGCAATCATACTTGGGTAAAAACTGCTGTTTGAATTTTAACCTTGCTATCTGACTTTGACCTTCAATTACTTGCTTAAACAATAGGGTAGTTACAGGAGATTGACTCCCACTGTCTCAGTAGCTTCAGGGGTAGACATTTAGATAACCTTTAGAGATTAGCCTCTGAGTTCTGCTTTTGTATTATGGGCAAGATAGGGGCACATTCCAATGTTCCCAGCCTTTAGAATTTAGAACAAAGGGAAATTCCTGTGGTTTGAAGCTTTAAAAAGGATTGCCTATGTGTGGGGCCCACCTATGTGTGGTGTTCCCTCGGCTGTCCTGGCCAGTTTTTCAATAAACCCTTGCCTGCTTTTTTAAAAATCAATCTTCAGCCTCCAGTGGACTTATTTTGAACCCAGGGTTCGACCCCACAACATTAAGGAAAGACTTCTTTCACTCTAATTTAATCTTATAGCCTCCTTCTCTGCCCCTACCCCAATGCAGTTATTTCTTTTGAAGACAAAATAAATAAATAAAATAAATCCTGCTTTTCGGACAGCTGTCACTTTTGATATCCCAATATATCCAGCCTAATTGCTGAAGACTTACAAAGCATGCTTGTTCATAGACTTCTGACTTATTAAGAATATAGTCATGGTTCTGTAACCGAAAACTATAATATAAATACTTTAACAAAATAATTTAATCCTAAACATTTAAAAGTGAACTTATACCACTATTTCAAACACATATTGAAGGAAAAAGGAATTCTAAACATAGCTTGTGTGGACATGGGTTCTTGGGAACAG